AAATAGAAATTTAAAATCTCTCTTCACAACATGTTGATCACCAGCCCATGACATTCTGATATAAAGTTCCAAATGATTCTATCTTTCTAGTTGTGTTTAAGGATACCCTTTCAGTCAGTACTGTTTCCTGAGTGTTCAGTGGGTGACAACAATCATAAAACAAAGAAGAGCTGTTGTGGGACAACAGGTGTTAAGAAGAGACATTAACAATCAGTAGTATTCTGAAGAGAGGTTAGGAAATAGTGACTGAAAAATTGTCCCGATTATTGAGGGTGTTGGGGGGGGCACATTCAATACCTTTGGGAGGGGGGACAAAAGAAATGGAGCTAAAAAGGAACACAGGCCTCAACTGTCTGAACGGGGGAAATCACAGATGAGTGAATGAAGTAGGAGAAAGTTTGCTGATTCTCTCCCTTTCCTTCTTCTAGGCTAAAACCAACAGCTATTATATCATGCCCCAATCAGGTTCCTCTGAAATGCTGGTCATGGTTACCATCAGAGGCACAAAGCCAGTGTAACAAAAGTGGGGGGTGTTCTCTCCCAGAAATTTCTAGAGAAACTAAATTCATAATGTTGGATTCTTTGCACATTTGCATTGGCCCTATAAAGAAAGTCTTTGGATTAAAAAAATAAAAATAAATCCCACATAGGAATACTATATAGATTCTAAGCATAAACAAAACAACTGTATATTTGTTCTTTCCAAAAAACTGACTCCCAAGAGATTTTGCTGGTTTATGGAAAATTTAGTACTTAATATTCTATGTATATTGATAACCTATGGAAAATGATACATTTTGGTTTTGAAATCCCACTCAGCCTTTTTCATGGAGCAGATTTCATGTTTGCAACGGCTGAAACATTCTGCTGAAAAGTAGTTTCTTAAGCTTTAATCTTATAAAGATTCTTTACTGAGATCAGGAAAATTGCTTAGAGTAGCATTTAATTCAAGCTCCTTATAACTATGGTGAAGCAGACAAATAATTGAAAAAGCAATGCAGAATTACTGCATAATATTTAATGTGAGACACTTTTACCAAAATAAGAGACACTCACATGGAGGCAAATTCTCAAATGGGATTGTTGAATAGACCAGGAACTATTCATAATCAGTAAGTTCAGACAAAAAACCACATCTACCCTTGCACCTGGTACCAAATCAATCAATAGCACCAGGTCCAGTAATGAGAGGCAGTGACAGGCTTCCACAGAAAAGTGGCCAGTACTCCACCAGAGTTTATATAGTTAACAAGTCTGTCCTCTGTAAAGAAAGTCGTTTCACACACAAGTACCAGTTTCTTTATTCTGAGTATTCAGCCTGGGAAAATCAAGGCATCTATTCTTTCTATGAATGACAAAGGGCAATCTTTTATGAGGCAGCTGAGAGAACTTTGCAGATATTTCTGTGCAGAACACTTATTGTAATGTTGCCCAGCCAAGGCTCCATGTAGATATCCTTTTCATGTAAGCAGTATAGGGATGCTACTAAAACATGGTGTCAAGTCATTTTCTTGGACACATTTTCTCAACCAATATTATCAAGGGCATTTATTTTTGCGAGACCTGTTGGCAAACTGTGACCTTGGGCATTTTACTGTGATAACATTCCTGCTTTGTTTTTATGCATCACATGAAGATTTGGGATTTCTAACTCCATACACTATATAAGCACTAAGAAGGAAAAGTAACGAACAAACAAAAACAGAAAAAAAACAGATCTCTCAACAAGTATGGAGTTTTGGAAGTTTTTGTTAATAGTTCATGGACAAGGGTTCTAGATTCTGAGAGGGAAAGCATTCTTTTTCTAAATGATTAAAAGATGAAACTGAAAGAGAGTCTGAGTCTTTTGAATTTCAGTAAATACCCACATAGCATGCACGGCCTTGTCAAGGTGCTATCCTACGGCATGATCAGCAGGGTGAGATTAAGATTCTACGGTTCATTCCCTCCCAGCAGTCTGACATTTGGAAAGAGTTTGGCTTGTACCGCAAAGAAATCCGTGAAGCTCCTTTCTTCTAGAAAAGATAAAGGATGGGGGCAGCCAACTATCACATCTACAAAAGTGGCCTCTGAAGACTAAATGAAGGAATTTTGTACATGGCACGGTCCTTCTCTCTTTTTCAGACAACAAATCAATATATATCTTCTATAATGCTCAAAATATGCAGCTGGAAGCATCACTCACCACAGCTGTTCCCCAGCTTCAAAGCCTTTCCTTAACAGTCTAACTGTGAATTAGAGAAAGAAATCTCCATTAACTACAGAATACCTCAAGTAGCAAGGGTGAGAGGGCTGTTCGTCAGCAAGTTATGCAATTTAAACTTGAAAGACAAAAAAAAAGAGAGTTTATAGTATATCGCAAACTGAATGCCTGTTAGCCTTGCAGTTGGGGTATTCTATACATTATTCTGAAGTTAATGGAATTTCTGCACTCTAATTTATAACTAACCTTTTGTACTCCTGTATTTTGAAATCTATTCCCCTATACTAATAAACAAACATTGGAGACAAAGGACACTTCAGGAGGAATCTATAACATGAGGGCGTGAATGTGTGTGTGTAAGAAGATGGATGTATGGATGCAGGTGAAAACCCAAATGACCTGCAGAAACAACGAGGAACACATTGATATCAGCGGCAAGATTGACAATTTCCACTATTAAGGAAAAGAAATACGGAGAAACCCCATGAAACTGTAGTAAATTCAAAAAGACGGGAAGAAGCCAGCGCCTAACTAGGAATATATTGCAGTCCAAATCTGCTGGTGTTATGCAAGTGAAATTCCCAATGAAGTTACTAGGAGTCATATATAGGACAGATTACAGGATTGGGCCCTAAAATGGAAAGAGATGGCCACTTGTGGTTGTGATTACCCCTTATACATTTTACACATTTAAAATGGCTGCTCTCTGGGCCCAGGTTCCTAATAATTCCATAATTTTTGCATTTTTTTCCTTGAGAAAAAAATGTGAAAAATATGTGATTTCCTTAAAATCACAGCACCACAGCAAAAATACAGCTCTGATTAAGTCACAATCTGTTGTGCACTTTACTGCACCAGATCCACGCACTGAGTAGATCCACGAGTGCAATCTCTCCTATCCCATGCTGTACTGCTGCTCCATACACCACGGAGCTTCTGCCACCAACCAACCCTGCATATCACCCCAGTTATTTGGTTACTTGGGCTGTATACTGTGGTGAAGGTTCAGTCTGTCGTGATAGAAAAATAAGTCATTTCTGAGTTCCACGAGTCCTAAAACCACACATCTTCCACCGTTAATTGGTTTTTCATTATTTTTTGTAACTAAGAAGTTTGATTTAATTAGTAGTTAACATTTCTAAAAACTAAATTAAAAAAGCTGGTAGCTTCTGACACGGTCTCATAAGAACGTAAGAATGGCCATACTGTGTCCGACCAGAGGTCCATCCAGCCCAGTATCCTGTCTGCCAACAGTGGCCAATGCCAGGTGCCCCAGAGGGAGTGAACCTAACAGGTAATGATCAAGTGATCTCTCTCCTGCCATCCATCTCCATCCTCTGACAAACAGAGGCTAGGGACACCATTCTTTACCCATCCTGGCTAATAGCCATTAATGGACTTAACCTCCATGAATTTATCCAGGTCTCTTTTAAACCCTGTTATAGTCCTAGCCTTCACAACCTCCTCAGGCAAGGAGTTCCACAGGTTGACTGGGCACTGTGTAAAGAACTTCCTTTTATTTGTTTGAAATCTGCTGCCCATTAATTTCATTTGGTGGCCCCTAGTTCTTATATTATGAACAAGTAAATAACTTTTCCGTATTCACTTTCTCCGGACCACTCATGATTTTATATACCTCTATCATATCCTCCCTTAGTCTCCTCTTTTCCAAGCTGAAAAGTCCTAGCCTCTTTAATCTCTCCTCATATGGGACCTGTTCCAAACCCCTAATCATTTTAGTTACCCTTCTCTGTACCTTTTCTAATGCCAGTATATCTTTTTTGAGATGAGGAGACCACATCTGTATGCAGTATTCAAGATATGGGCGTACCATGGATTTATATAAGGGCAATAAGTTATTCTCTGTCTTATTCTCTATCCCTTTTTAATGATTCCTAACATCCTGGTTGCTTTTTTGACTGCTGCTGCACACTGCGTGGACATCTTCAGAGAACTATCCACGATGACTCCAAGATCTCTTTCCTGATTAGTTGTAGCTAAATTAGCCCCCATCATATTGTATGTATAGTTGGGGTTATTTTTTCCAATGTGCATTACTTTACATTTATCCACATTAAATTTCATTTGCCATTTTATTGCCCAATCACTTAGTTTTGTGAGATCTTTTTGAAGTTCTTCACAGTCTGCTTTGGTCTTAACTATCTTGAGCCGTTTAGTATCATCTGCAAACTTTGCCACCTCACTGTTTACCCCTTTCTCCAGATCATTTATGAATAAGTTGAATAGGATTGGTCCTAGGACTGATCCTTGGGGAACACCACTAGTTACCCCTCTCCATTCTGAAAATTTACCATTTATTCCTACCCTTTGTTCCCTGTCTTTTAACCAGTTCTCAATCCATGAATGGATCTTTCTTCCCTCTTATTCCATGACAACTTAATTTACGTAAGAGCCTTTGGTGAGGGACCTTGTCAAAGGCTTTCTGGAAATCTAAGTACACTATGTCCACTGGATCCCCTTTGACCACATGTTTGTTGACCCCTTCAAAGAACTCTAATAGAGGCCCTCAGTGACAGTGTTGCAGCTGAGAAGAAACTGCCTAATTAGGATCTGGGGTTAGCCCTGAACTTTGAACTTGAAATCTTTACAACCTTTAGCTTTCCCTCCCCTCCCTCAACACCTCCTAAGTTTGTTTATATCACATATATCACAATACATCAAGTTCACCACAGATCACATTAATATCATTAATGCACACAAACTATTAACTACTCAGGGTAAACGCCAATAAAAAACAACAAACCAAATATTTTTACCACATCTACAGGACACTGACCTGCTTTGCCCATTTCCCCTTTTCTCAAAGATCCTTCAGCCTGGCACCCAACTCTGTGACGAAGCCTGCTTAGCACCAGTGAAGCTCCCCACATTCAGACTGACAACGTTCTGAGCTGAGATGAGGGAATCGAAGTTAAAATCCAACCCATCTGCATCCATGAGTTCACTGCGGATAATGGACTCCATGTCACATTCCAAGCTTCCATTGAAAATATCCAGGTCCAAATCGCTTGGGAATTTATCATGCCCCATGACTGGAAGGTTCACACTAGTGGAATACAAAGAAGAGCCTGAGAGTGAGTCAGAAAGGGTTTGCATAGACTGACTGACGGGTGACTGCTGCTGGTGTTTGGCCGACCCTAAGTTGTTCGTATCATTTAAGCCCATGTTACTGATGGAATTTGACAAGGCACGACTGCCACCAAGAGAAGAATTCTGAGATTGATGCTGGTGGTGGAGCAGGTTCTGGTTGACCAAACTTCCCTGGTTGGACTGAGCAGCAAATGACATCATTGGATCACTACGAAGCATGATACTCCTGCGTGAATTCTGGGCAGACACAGCAGTGCTGGCTTGAGACATGAGTGGATCAGACTGCGTCATCATGACATCACTGTGACTAAGTGACTCAGATGCCAGCAGATCCTGCAGCGTCTGGTTGTTATAATGAGAAATGGAAGAAAAGGTAGCTTGCTTGTTCTCTTGAATGGTCTGCATGGGAGACTGACGAAGGGAATTCAGAGATGATGGTCCAAACACAGCACTGTTGAAATTACTTGATGGAGAACCAAGTCCAGAACCTTTGGAACCATATGGAAAACTGGAGCTTCTTTGCATGAGCCCCCCTGATGGTGACTGCTGGGGAGAGGGGAGCGTTATATTGTCCAAAAGATCATCCATGATGAGGTTATCTGTCAGTCCATCATTCAAGTTCATTGTGCCTGCCATATCAGTCAACCTAGGCAACTCAACAGTACATGGTTTATTTACCGATGGGGACATGCTTGATGGACTATTGTACAGCATTGGAGAAAGTGGAGCATCATCATCCTGAACGTCATCTAGTTCGGTACTCGCCAATATCGGTGACAAACGGCCACTTATTGTACTGGCATTTGAATTTGTACGAGAGCGGAAATCTGTCCAAGCATCCAGCTCATCACTGCTGCGGGAAGTTGGGCTCCCTGGCCACTTGGAAAGTTGAGACGGGCTGTCCTCGGTAGCTTCTTGTGCAGCTTGCAGGGCTGCCTTTTTCTTAGCTGCTCGGCCTCTGCTCTTTGTGTATTTGTTGCTATTGTCCATTGAAACAGCGCGTCTCCGTGGGGGCTTCCCACCTTTTCCACCATCTGGATTAATCATCCACCAAGAGCTTTTCCCAGTTCCTTCATTCTGTACCCTGATGAATCGACTGTGAAGTGACAAATTATGCCGGATTGAGTTCTGTGGGAAAGGAATACAACAAAAAGTCAGGGCAAGTACCATTTCCTCTGCTAGTCTCATCTCAATCACGCAAGCCCAAAATTAAACGAAACTTTGAAATCCAATCAAAACACTGGGCTGCTCTGGACATTCTGCACTGCTCAGGCAGGGGTCAGATACTGGTTGTAAATCGTGAGCAGGGAGTTCTCCTTGTGGAGAATGCCATGCTGCCGTAAAGCAGAGCCAACTCCTGTGCCAGCTTCTCTGCCCTCACCCCTCCTCACCCTTGACATAGAGAGCACTTCCAGGGAGAAGGAATGTGGCAGAGCTCCACTCTGCTGTGCCCATCCTCCACTGGTGTAACCATCACCCAGGCTAGAGACTGCAGGACGAGGGAGCTGCAACTGACACCCTGACAACCCACCCTTCCCCTGGGCTGTAGGTTGCTCATACTTCCAAATCATTCAACAGCAACAAACAAACAAACAAACAAAAAGCCGCATTAACAACTGCTAAGCCCCGGTAGATCTGTACCGCTTCTATTTTTGACTGAATAAAATGTCCTGCATACAGATTAAATTATCAGTTACTATTGTTCCAACTCTCTTAAAATGAGAACTGCAAACACTTCAATAAAGGTGATTGAAAGGCTGTCTACTCTCATTGCAGCTTCTGTAAGTACCTTTGTATTCTTTACTGAAATGCAATTTTGTACATGTATTATAACAATACTCCAGTGCAAATCACAACTGCTTTCCTTCCTCCTCCTATAGAACTGCACACTGGAGGTGGGATGTACTTTTTCTTTCCATTGTTGGAATTTGAATTATATATTCAGGGTAGCTGGTCTGTTGCTCCCCGTACCCACAGCATCCTCATAGTCTCCCAAAGTTGGAATGCCATTATGCACGATAAGATCATAAGCACAGCAGGCTGCTAGTAACAGAAATCTAGAGTACCCATAAAAGGTCCAATGAATCCCAAATCCTGCCAGGTGCCATCAGATACACTGGACACAAGAAATGAAAAACAGTACTGTATTCTGCGTATGCATTCTCAAAAAAGTGGCGTGACTTCACACTATGGTGATTGAACCCAGTACAAAATCCCGAAAGAGACCCAGAAAACTAACTCCCAGTAACTCACGTAAAATGACACCAGACTTACACAAGTGTAACTGAGATCAAAATCTCACTCTAGATCCTCTGCTTAAAATACAGCTAAAAAGACCATAAGAAATTTGCTAATAAGAATTTGTATGTTTTTTGATTTTATGCGCAAGTTAAAGAGTTTTGGAGCTATGCCATATTATTTTGGCAAACCAGTTGTACTAATGCTGTATGTTAAATTTGAACAAGTTTTAAGTCATAGATGTTTTTAAAATATTGGCAAACATCAGCTGTATCTATGTGGAGGATACAAATACATGTGTTCCACCAGCATGTTTTAAAAAGAAAAAGTCAACAGTCTCTCATTGTAACCAAACAAGCCAGAATAAGTGTTTTCCATTTACAATGCACTGAAGGGATTCCAGTTTCAGTTGGACAAAGAACACACACAACCAAACAATTATTCATAAACACATTAGCATTCATACTATTAACATAAAGGGATGTTTGACGTAAGTGAACTGAAGACACATTGGCTGTGTGAAGAAATGTAGCCCAGAATTTTTTTTTTTCCATTTTGTTGATGGTAAATACATTTTTTTCATGTTGTATTTTTGGTCAGTTTCAGGACTGACCTCCCCCCACACACACCTCTCTCAAATTCTTCTCACACATGGACAGCAGAAACATTCTTGTTTACCACTCATGAAAAAGAAAAAGTAATAAACTACAAAACAGGAGTTGTTCTTTTTAAACAATTTGCACAGCATAGCAAACAAGACTCCATAATGACACTAAAGTTACGTTTGTATCAGCACCTCAGTTATACACTCTTATATTTCCAAGAGACTATAATACCTTGAAAAAATTATTTGGGTTCATTCTCAGCATAAAAGTTCCTCAGTCTAGCCAGGAGGGAATTTTTTTATTATTGAATTAGTGAGATTATAACTATATTTAGGGTCTGGCAGAAATATGTTTTAAATTATATTAACCAGATGCCACTACCCACTTTCCCACTCTCCCCCAACAGGGCTCTTAAATAAATCATTTGAGTTTTTAAAATTTAACTAACATTTCCTACCTGATGCTCCAATCCTGCAACTGAGTCCATGTGGATGGATTCTTATGCCCATGCCTTGCTGGCTTCAATGGGGCTCTGTGCAGGAAGTATTTATGTTTGTCCGCATGGATCCAGTTGTAGGATCAGGCCTAACTAGGGTTGCCAACTTTCTAATCACACAAAACCGAAAACTCTTGCCCCGCCCCTGCCCCTCCCCTTCGCCGAGGCCCTGCCACCTGCTCACTCCATCCCCTCCTCTCTGTCGCTTATTCTCCCCCACCCTCACTCACTTTCACTGGGCTGGGGCAGGTGGTTGGGGTATGGGAGGGGGTTAAGGCTCTGGTTGGGGGTGCGGGCTCCGGGGTGGGGCCAGAAATGAGAGATTCAGGGTGTAGGAGGGGCTCTGGGTTGGGGCCAGGGATGAGGGGTTTGGGGTGCAGGAGGGAACTCCAGTCAGGG